TTTTTATATAATATTATTTAATTTTATATATAATATTTTTAATTATTTTTTAATAAAAACTTTCTGAATGAAAATGCTCTCGAATCAAACAAAGCTTAAATTAAATTGAATAAATGAGTGGGGGTAGGTGTGGGTCAGCAATCAACACGGTGGATCATGATGCCAAGCAGCAGGAGGGCCTACAGCTCGCCATCTCAATTCAATCCTTTCTGTTTATCAATTTGCCCCAAATTAATCTTTCTGTAAAAAAAAAGTTGACATGTCTAATATTTAACGGTAAAAAACAATAACTTAACGGTCACGTGTCACGTTAATAACGAGACACATCAGTTGTTTTGGTATAGAAAGATCAACTTGGGGAAAATTGGTAAACAGTAGGGACCAAATCGGGGATCCGTACAATAGTTTAGGGATTAAATTAAGAATTTTTTTAGTTCAAGGACCAAATCAGGGGTCCGTACAATAGTTCTGGGATCAAATTAGAGATTTAACCAAAAACATTTTCTTGAGTTTAGTTTAAAATCTTATCAAACTCAATGAAAGAAAATGCATAATAAAAAATGTTGGAATCATTAAGCAAACTCTGAATAGTCTTAAAATTAAAAATAATCTTGTATTTATATATGGTTGGTTTCTAAGAATCTTATTCAAACAAACACCGAAATTTAAAATTGTATAAACTCCTCCTTCAATAAAAGCATCTTTAAAATGCAAAATAACCCTAAGAGTTGCTTGAATCCTCTCTTTTAAGTAAAACATATAAAAATGCTAGAAGTAAAAGATCTTCAAAATAAACTTTAAAATACCTAATGAAAAGCGATATTCAAAAGCACAAAATACTTACTTATTCATCCAAAAGAAGCATTTCAATATTATCATTTAGTTTTAGTTGTCGAAAATTCTTCTACTTACAAAACTTAATTATTTTTTTTGAAAAATATTTTTTTATAAAAAATATTTTCTTTTTTAAAAGATTTATTTTTCTAATATTTGGAATATTATGAAAAAAAATTTTATAGAAGATGTTTTTTATTGTTTGGTTTCGTAATGGAAATGGAAAATTTTTTGAAAAATAAGGAAAGAATGACTTTATTGAGCTGTATTTGAAATGCATATCTAATAATTTAATAAGAAACAACTCTTCCCTTTTCCCATAAAATTGTCCTTGTTCAAAAAAAAAAAAAATGAAAAAGCAAAGCTGCACTGAGACCCTTACGCAAATGGAACATAAACCCAACTTATGTCAAGAACAAAAATAATCTCAATCCCTCTTAGGCAGT